TCTCTCTCTCTCTCTATCTATCTCCTCTCCCCCCCTCTCTCTCTCTCCTCCCCCCTCTCTCTCTCTCTACCTCTCTCTTTCTCTCGACTTACTCGCACACACACGTAACCATACACGCACAGACATACACACATACACTCACTGATATTATGTTCTAGCTGATCGTACTAAAGTCATACTACACAAACACGTGTACTTAATGATCGTCAATGACATCATACGCTTGTCTTCTCTAGTTTTATTTCTCTGAAATGTTGGCTTACATTACATTGCCATACGTTATTGCGACATAGTAGATTATACGGGCGTTGAAGGCATCAGCAAAGAGCATATTTCACCAAACGCATTATTAGTCATTATAAAGAAACCTCATTGCAACCACATCAAAATCAAATTAAATCTAGATCTAATGGAAAACTGAAAGATTAAAATAAAAAAAATAATTGTAGCCTACGTGCACGTGGCGACGACAATTTAAAACAGGAGGATCGGCAGGCAGATGATCAATATTTTGGAGTTTTTTCCGTCTGTTGATTTTGTCGAAATTCTGCTGTCAAGTTAAGCTTCCTAGTGGATGTAAGAGTGGTACTAGATATATCTAGTAGGCTATGTGAAATCCGACACGGGGCGGAGGGAAACTTTAGAAGCAAACTCTTGATGCATGACTATGGCTTTCCGACGTTGACAAGTGAGTGACCACGCCCACTAAACCAAGGGCATTAACTATTGTTTTCCCCTCCTGAACGTTTGTTGGGAGTGATTTCCCGCACAGAGTAAGAAAATGGCGACAATTTGTTGGGGAAACACTTCCGCTTCGTCTTTGGAGACTTTGGATGATGTACAATTAGAATAGTTGTGATAGACCCAGTTGTGTGTTGTTTTTTCCTTTTGCCTCACAATGTCGGGGCCTATGTCGGAGAGGAAGTTTGCTGAGGGGTTGCAAAGGAAAGGCAACGCCGCCAAAATAAGAGAGACTGTTTCCCAAGCTCTGAGAGAAAGTGCTATTCAGGTAGGTAGGCCTGTCTCCTCGGACGCCTTCTTGGTAATGGTACTTCCACCCTTTCTTATCTTCGGAAGTATCAGTCAGTTTTGATTCCAGCTCTTTGTAAAACGCGGTCTTTAGATATTGTGGTAATCTTACAATTGGTATTTTCAGTAGACATCTTTGCCAATGTAAAATCCAAGTAATTTTTGAAGACCTGTTTGTGATTTTGTGCTTGAACTTTCAATACTTTCATTGGCAAGTTCTAGGGATGGGAGTGACTTGAACTTGAATGGATGGATTTTAGGGTTGGGCTGGGCTGGGCTGATTGCAATGGCACTGTAGGTTGAATGAGTTGGTGTAGATCTAGACCAGAAGAGGGGAAAGAACTGGGATTTTGTTTTTAGGTTTAGGAGATTGCCAATCGGCGGCAGTAGAATTTGTTACAAGTTAAAATCAAGTTACTGTTGTTAGTCTAGTTTAGAAAATTGAACAGAAGAAGAATCTAGATCTAGATCTAGATCTAGATATAGATTAGATCTAGAATCTAGATTCTAGATCTAGATATAGATCTAGAATCTAGATATCTAGATCTAGATAGATCTAAGGTCTAAACTTTTCAGTATCTCTGGTCTCTAACCAAAATTATCTTCAATTTATAAAAGTGGGAGTCATCACAAAAAACAAACAAAGAAAATTAGGTTTTTGCCAACATTAGACAGTCAAGAAGTAATCGACTTTGATTGAAGTTTGCATTTTGAACTTACTTTTCTGCACTTTGAAGCCTGAAGCTAAGAAACCATACAAATGTAATCTTTTGTCTTAGCAAGAGTAACTTATTTTATATAAGCTAGACAATGTCTCTGGGGTCTAGAGTTTGCAAGAATATGACCGAATCAATCTCCTCAGTCTGCTGCTGGGTGTTTTCATGAAAGAAACTCCTTTCGTGGCTTCAAATTGAAACAAAAAGTGATAAAATGTTTTGACTTAAAAAGTGCGCTGTGATTTAATTTTTACCACACATTCCCCTTTACACACATTCACACACACACAGACAAACCCACGCACAAACACATGGATACACCCTTTTACAGTGCACCTTTGTCATGTACTCTCGCACTATAAATATATATATTATGCTTTAAAAGTACAATCTTTGGCCCTTACTTAAACACACCATGCGTTTGCACCTATCTGGATAATATCTATTTTCAGTTTGTTTAAATCCTTTATTTAGAGTGACAGTGAATTGTCATCCCTGTGATAAGATGGGCTAAGCCTCAAAATTTCAACAACAAAAAATGTTCATCATACGAGAAATTAATTGAATAGTAAATTTTATCCATTTTCATTGATGCTCAGAAGTCAGACAGGTCTGAATTTTGGCAAGAAATTAAATGTCCTAAAATATTTTATAAATGAAAATAACGCTAAACTACCGGCTTCTGCGTGAAAATGATCAAAACCAAAATTACGTAAATTTAAATTTTAAATTGCCTTTCTTGTAAAATGTATACCACACTGAGTTAGCCAGTCCTCTTTTGAGGCAATGATTGCATTTTTAAAAAAGATTTTGCGCAATGATATAAAATTTAAATGATCAAATTCCCTGGAACTGCTCTATTTTATTGTGCTTTTGGCATTTATATATCAAAATTAATCTTTGAGTCGATATAGTATAGTACTGTAAGCAAGGTGAAATTTTTGTAAAGGAATCCATATGTGTCATGACGTGGTGGTATCATATCAGGCACTCTTCAATTTTTGGGCTTGGGGTTATTGTTCATTTTAAAAAACCTGTTCATTTACCGTCCTTTTGGTGAAAAAATACCGACCCTATATTGAATAGAAGTCGAAGTATATGCCGTTGAAGGAGGTCAGGATCGCCTAGTTTCAGAGGTAAAATTAGCGAGAAGATGGCCACCAAAGTTTGGTAACTTCCATAGCCGGAGAGTCCTTAGACACTGAAAATTAGTGGTTTTTTGCCTTTAATTTTAATTGACATTTAATTTTTTCAGGGCAATCCACACAGAAATGTGTTCTTTAATGGGCATGGAAAATGTTCAGCCAAAAAACAAATTTTTGATAAAAATTTCGAAACCTGCAAAAAAAAGCCAATTTCTTCACTGTCATCATTGTGATGAGCGCCTGATTTCGGCATGCTGCCTCACATATTTATGTATTGTTTATATAACCCTCTAAAATTGAAACATAGTCATGGGACTTTGCTGCTGCTATGGGATTAATTATAAGGAAAAAAAAACCCTGATCAACTATAGAGATAGTGGAATGGACAAGGGCTATTTTTGCCTTCTTTGATGTAGCAATCTTGGATTGAGTCCTTGGAGTAAGGTCTTGATCAGCTGCATTCTTGAATCAGAGACTTTCTCAAATTCATTCGTTCTTTTCGTTCTAATTTGCACATTTGTTGAGATATAAAAGTTACCATAAATTGTGACCTTTTAGAAATACCCCCTGTTTTTTCTCATTCAGGTGCATTTATTAGTTGGGTGAGCTTTCCAAAAGTTTGAATTCTGTGATTAATTTACAGACCTCTTTGTGACATCTTAACACAGGAGAGTACTGACGTTATAATAAATTATGTTCCCCTGTCTTTGGGGAAAAAAAGTTGATGTAGGTGTTAACTTTTCGATAACAAGTGTGAAAGTTAAACTTGATTTTGAACAAATATCCTTTCGACTTGTCTTTTGCTGTACCCTATAGAGACTGCTGGTAGATCTTACTCTCTTAGAACAAAGAAAGTGTGCATGCATAGAAATGAAATATTGTACTGACAGATTGATTTTCCTTAGACAATCCTTTCCTTTTCCAGAGAACATGCACATCAAAGAAAAAGAATTGAGGTGCTTATCTTGTGAAGGATATCTTTGTGCAAAAATGAATAGTTAAATGGGAAGTTATTGATCCGTATGACTTTATGTGGAGGCCTTCTAGAAAAGGATGGCTTCTCTTGTAAGTTCTGAGGAAGATTCATAAAGTTTGTTCAATAATTGATTTCTGTTCGCACTTTGTTCCATGACTATTATTATTAAGATGTTTAAAAAAAAAATAACGCCAAAAGCTAGTAGTGGGTGTTTGACAATGCTCTGGTGTAGTTTGCTTCTTCTTTCCTGTCAAATATCCATCATCCCTCTCTCTCCTTCTTTTTTGTGTTTGTTGGTCTCTCTAAACTTTGATATTCATATATGACCTAAATGTGTTGCACATATGCTGTTAAACGCACCAAAAAAACAACAACAAAACAACAACAACAAAATGAAAAAGGTATTGATGCTTTTAAGGAACTAAAATTTGGGGTTTATCATTTGTGGTGTCTATTAGATTGCTTTGAGTCCGACCCCCAAACCCATCCCCCCCAAGCATCACCACCACCACCACCATCTCCTCCTCCACCCCACACTTTTTTCCCTCTTATACATTCCTTCCTGACTCTCCTCTAACAAGTTAAGTACAAAACAGTCATCAAATGGAGAACTGGAACCGCCTTTTTGTATCTTTACTTTGGGGTGGGGGAAAGGATGGGGTGGAGGGGTGGGTGGAGTGAGGTATTCTTTTTCTCACCCGTATCCATGTCTTCCACCTCTCCTGTTTCTCATGTTGCTCACGTTCATCAGTACACGCCTTTGTAATGTTCTGAGCGAGCATTGTTCGTGATAAAGAGCTGTAATAGTGAGTGATTTTGAGCAAATAGCGTGGTGTTCCAAACCGAAGGAGCATGTATTTGTCCAGGAGCCACAGGGAGAAAAGAAGATGGCTGGCCCCCCTCATCGGCTCTGGAATGTCGCTGTTTGGTCAGACGTCCACGAGCCATAATGTGGCCTTTATGTGTGCGCCCTTCGGGATTGATAGGATTGTCCGCTTTTGCCGCTCATCTCTCGTTTTTATAGTTTTCTCTCTATCTTTCTGTCTCTGCCTCTGTCTCTGTCTGTCTGTCTGTCTCTCACTCTCTGTCTGTCTGTCTGTCTCTCTCTCTGTCTCTCTCTCTCTC